GCCATTGTTGTTGTTGTTGTTGTTGTTGTTGTTGTTGTTGTTGTTGTGAGCTGTGAGGGGTTTCCGCGCGGTTTGGCTTCATGAAGCAGGCACGCAAACGGTTACGTCATGACACAAACGATGACGCAATGACGCAGCACCAGTCGGACTCTGGGCAGTGTGAAAAGAGCCGGAGCTAAACCGAAGAACCGGTTCTGAACCTGAAAAGTTCTAGCACGGAGCTTGAACCGGAGTTGCGTTGGTGTGAATGATGTAAAAGTGGCGATGAGGTCTTAAAATGTATGGAATGGGTCTTAAAAGGTATTACATTTGACTTCAGGATTCCTGCATATACCCTGCTTTAACTGAACCAGTGTCTCTACCCAAAAAGCTCTTTATGTTCCTCATACTGTCTGTGCTGCAGCACCTCTTTTCACCCTCTGTCTGAAACCAGAGCCCAGTCTGCTCTGATTGGTCAGCTGGCCAGCTCTGTTGTGATTGGTCAACCGCTTAGAGCTGCCCCCCCCCCTTAGCTCATCATGTTAAGCTGCAATGTTTGGCTTTGTAATTCATGAGAACCCGTAAGGGCAACGATAACAAGCAAAGATGAAATAGTACTGAGGTGACATTAATGAGGCACCAAAACATTTGTATGTATAGAATATTGTGTTCCTGTTGTTCCTGTATTTTTTACTAAACTGTTACAAACTCATTTGAGATGAAAGCTTTTTAATTCCCCGTTATCGTCCATGTCCTCCTCTCCAACACTCCTCTTGTTTTATGTAAAACTGTGACTGTTGGCACAGATGCTCTGTCAATTTGGCCAGTGAATAATTACCAGTGAGTAAATTAGCATTTCTGCATGCTTTTGCAAATATTATTTGTACAATGTTGTACCCAGCAATAACAACTATTACCCAACTGAAATCCGCCTGCAGCAGGTTGTTAACAGATGTTTCCGAGTAAAGCTGGGTCCTCGCTCAGGGACTTTAACTGTAGGTGGCTCTTCCACCTTTTCACACCAACACATGAATGTTGGCTGATGATTAATGCGTGCTGCCATGGATATCGATGGCCTCTGTAGCGCTAATGATTCTGATGTTGCATCTGTGTCATGAGGTTGACGATGCTTTACCAAACCTACAAAGAAAAGGGTGTTCCTCCATGTCCTTTCTTGTTAGGCGTATGCTTTCTTTTTCTCCCCTCATTCCCAATCCATCATTAATGTGAGCACATGCATGTGAATAAGTCACCAGTCCCCACATCGATCGGCTGAATGACTTCATAAGGGAAATAGCACTGAGACAAAGGGAGGCAGCAATCAATCAGTAGCTACAGTAACCAATCATCTAATTGATGAAAAAGGGTTCCAATTAGCGGGAAAGCTCTTCGTGGTGTAATATTTCCTCGTTTAATCCAGGGTGAATATGCAGTCTAAGACCTATTGACTCTTATTTTTCAATATGTCCGATTAATAAACACGAGAAGCCTCATTGTTGCAGTTTATGTTTCGAATTATAATGATGTCATGCACGTTGTAAATCAAAGGGAAGTGTATAAATATTAAATCTCAACTCAAACACTCTTGGATATAGGGGTTAGTTCTACAAGGAAGTGAATAGATTTGCGTGTGTGTGTGCGCATGCTCACGTGATCATGATTATGCACTGCAGTGACTCGGGGGCGATTCACGTCATATTTAGCTGCACGTCGGGGAGTGATTGATCTGGAAATGGAGACAGGCAGAGGCCAGACAGAGCAGAAACGCACATACACAAATGGCTTTCGACTGGTTGCTCTTTGACGAGCCGTATCAAATCCGCCGTGACATTCTGTCTCTACCTTTCAAGAAATACACAGCAATGCATGTTCGGGATGACGATACGTGGTGTGTGTGAAACATTCACCTGTCATCGAGAGCAACATCAGTGTAAACCAGGGGTGTTCAAACTACGGCCCGGGGGCCAAATGCGGCCCGCGGACTATTTTGAATCGGCCCTCAGCAAATTAAAAAAGTATAATGTAATATGGCCCACAAATGAAACTTGCGCTTGTCTTATATTGTACTTCTTAAATATAAATGTAAATATATTACACAGTAGTATTCATGTGTTAATAGAACCACTTTTCAAATAAATGCAGTCAATTCAAGTTGGAAACATTTTCTAACATATCTTAGTTGATAAGAAAAAAGCCCAATGACTTATTTACATAACAAGCTTGAAATACACCCTTCATATTTCTCCTGATTATTATTATTATCAATCTGAGGCTTCTGTTTTAAGGGATGAGCTGCCAACACTCACAAGCATCATTTACCTACATTTGATTGATTTAGCTAACTTATAACTGAACTTTATATTTCGTATATTTCCGTATATTTTGTGGCCCTCGTGAAAAAAAAAGAAACAACCCTGGTGTAAACGCATCAGAAGGTGATAAGATAGCAATGAAATCCTTTAATTGAGAAAGGTTGATAATATATCTCCAAAAAGGTCAAAACGAAATATTGTAGATGAAAGCAATCCTTTCTTTGTCATCCTGTTCCTTCCAATAGCTACTTAAAAGCAAGCATTGCCATTAAACATAGTGCCAGCAGCAGGGTTGTAAATGTGTGTTGACATTTCACTTTTCATTTAAATGTTGCTGCCTGTAGCTACACCGGCTGACCTACGTGGAAGTTTGTAACTTTAATACGCTGATAATTCAAACGTATAAAAGTGCCTGCAGCAGCGTGAACTGTGTTTGCTCTCTGCTGCCCTTGAAGTGCTTTAGTTATTATTTCTATTGTCTTATCACAGAAAGGAAATGTTTAATTGATGCTTTGAAAATAAGCGAGAGAAGAACATTTATATTGAATCCGACAGTGTGTAAATACTTTTGTAATGTAATGTGGAAATAGTACCTTCCCACGTGCTTTAATGGCCCTTTTATTTTCATTTTCAGGTTCATATTTGTATTTTGTGCCTCTTCGTTGACATGTGTACATACTTTAATGGTCAAAAATGTCTTTATTTTTCTCATACTGCTTGTGCTGTAGCACCTTTCGTGTTGAGCGTGTGGGAGAGAAACCCAAAACCTTCATAACAACTTAAGATAGTGTGTTATACAGGTAGAAGCGTGTTCAACAAATCTGAGTATCACTATAACATGTAAGCAGGCTCACACATGTATATGTAGTGTATTTTTCCATATAACAATATGAAACTAAAATGACCTGCCATCCACTGACTCAAAATAAAATAAATATATACACTATTGAAATTGCACCTTCCATCTCAGGCCCTCTGACAATGATCGTGGAAATAAAATGAATATGTAACCAGTAGCAACACCCATCTATATAAGCCTTCACAGAGCACGCTTTAATATCTGCCTCAGAGCAGATGGCTTTTCTGGAATAGAACAAGGTGGTTTTTCAATATTTGAAGATTCAGCGTAATTTTGCCGTCCTCACTGCGGATTAAACGGTGACAGATCACTGGTTCTTTTCATCTGGGATTTAAGTCCCTGAGGGGTTTTCTTCTTCCTAATATAGGTTGCTATGATTGTACAAATGCAGACAAAATAACAAAAAGCTATTACCTACCTCAAAATGCGTGCCAGTGGATGGAGTGTCAAAGGCGATGGGAGAGGGGGGAGGGGGTTAGCAAAACAAGATTGTGGAATTGCATGGGATTGGAACAGACAGTAGGATAGGCTGGATAACGTTCAGCTTCGCCACTCAAGTATGTAATCAAATCATGAGTGGTAAAAAAAAAAGAAGACCCAAATGGAGAGGACAATATGGCTAATATCCACGAGCTGCTTTAATCTCAAAGAAACATGTTTTGTTGGTAAACTCATTTACGAGTCTTCTTCTGCTGTCATGTTGTGTTTCTCCAGGCATGCACACTAAGAGCGTGTGTGTGTGTGTGTGTGTGTGTGTGTGTGTGTGTGTACAATATTATGGAAAATGTTTTTGAGATAGTAATTTATTTGTTTTTACCAGGATTTCTACCCGATAAAGATGTTTCAAGTGTTTTTAATATATAGAATTACATTTTCAAATATTAAGCCTACCAAATATTGCGCTTACTTCGATTTGGGTTTTTCACTAGTCCATATTGCAATTTTGATAAGATTGAGATTAATTGTGCAGTCCTTGTGTTAACACGTTGTTGTCTACTTCTACAGTGTAGTCTTTGATTGATAGTGGATACATGACTGTTTTTGTTTTTTTACAGTTGCATTGGGATGTCTGGCTTGTTTCTGCGTCTGTATTTGAGCTCGTATTTGCAAAGAGATAGACCCAGTTTGACTCGAGCGTTACCTGAGGCGCACACGGCGTCATATTTCAACTCCTTTTGTCTTTGACGGATTGCCCGGCTCTAAAAGCCTCTGTCCATGGTGCTGAAGGCTGGCCTGATGTATGAGCGCCAGGCCTCGTTTGATAAATCCGCCTTGTCACTCTGCCCCTGACAGCCATTCATCATGCTTGGCTTTCTCATGTGAAATATTCCGTGTGCTGGATAATTCAGTAAGACAAATAAAATGTGAGTCCTACAGCTTTAGACTGGGCTCGGTCCCACACTGCATTGACTTTTCAGCACTGTACTTTATCTCTGTGTCATAGGGACGCTGTGTCCCTGTCTAAGCACAGGCAGCAGCTGTAAGTGCAGCACAGGGACTGTATTCAGACCAGGAAGGACGAACATGCTCTTAATGAGGCGGCTAATGAGTTCTGTTCTTTTGTTGCTGTGTTTTTTGTTTCTTCTTCCCTGGGTTAGGACGACCATTCAACCATTCAGCTGAAGTCTCCTGGCGTTTCCCCTGTGGCCTGACTCAAAAGACTCCCTCTGTAGTACTCGGTCATTAATGAACATGTTGTAGTACATGCTTGCAGTTGAAATGTCACATATAAAAGTTCACATTACCCCAGGGTTGGTGGACAATGAAAGGAAAGGAGTATAGTTATAAACCGTGCATTTTCGTTTGAAATAATCCACATATGAACAAAAAAACAAAGCAGAAAAGTAGGCTTGTTTGTAAAAGAAATAATGACATTTATTTTTTTCTTAGCACGTTCTTAATTAGCTTGTTGTGCCCATTGATCACATATAGTACAGTTAATATAAAAATGGCTTTTTAACTTTACACCCAAAGCAACAACGAAATGTTTTCTTAAAATATGTATGCTAAAAATACTGAGAAAGTATTTCCACTAAAAGTACCGGAGAATAGCTGTGATGACGACATGGTCATGTTTCTTCTTCTCTGTTTACCTCGTGTAGTTCTTGTTGTAGGCACTTACCAGGGCGTCGTGAGGAGATAACACATCAATCCCCTCAGTTTTAATCAACCTGTTTATATTTGTTTTCCTCCATTTTTTTTTTCCCAGTCACCATTGCAATGAGAACTACACAGCATAAACAGCCCTTTGGCAAATGTCCTCCCTGGATACTCGTTTTGAAGCTGAATTTCATTAAGCTTAATGTGACGTTGTAATCAAAAGTAGTCTGCTCCTTGCCTTAATTTAAAACCCATTCAAACGGTGCGGATACAGAGGATTTGTCTTTACATCAACATAATAGAGAATATATAACAATATTTCCATGAAAAAACCAAGAATCCATTTTAAATAGAAAAAGGGGGTTTATATTTCATCAAAAGGCTTACACCATAGTCACTGTAATTTGTCTACTCTACTAAATCTCCCTTTCCCATAATAGACAGGTGTTATTACTGTATCTCTAACTCGTCTATGGATGTTCGACAAAGCACAGACGGTATTGCTTGGGACCACACGGACAGTTCCACAACTCTTAACACATTTAACAGTCAATTACAAGAGAGTTGACCATCTTCATTTTCACGTTCTTTTCTCTGCCTGTATCTCTGTATGGATGATAGTGAAATATATTGTTTTGCAGTAAATGCCCCTACTGTTGATGTGAGCCTGATTTGATGTTACCAAGCCACCACATCAGCTGGGGGTTGAAACTGGGAGAGCACGTAGTCTTATTTCAAACTGTTCCATCCCTGTCCGATAAAAGATTTGCCAGTGTGTCCGAGCCGGGGACCAGCAATGGGTTATGCCTTTTGAAACAGTACTACAGAAGTGTCCACCGCTGACAGTGGGCTAGTCCATTCAGTGTAGTTGGTGTGTGGTGCTCTACAAAGCTGCGCCTCTTAAAATGCATTGTCAGATACATTTATGACTGTGGCTTTCACGTTCACTCCACTTGGCAGTCCTTTACCTGAGACCCACAGCTTTGTAAAGAAAGGAGAGTGCATTCCGGTAGCTTCCTCCGGTGTCAGCGCAGCCTTGGACTCGCATTTCCTTATATCCCCATAAAAATGGTGGTTCCGCAGAGAGACATAAATAAGCAGGCATGCCACTGAAATCACAGCCAAGAGCACACCAAACACGGTGATTACTGCTGTGTCCCATTTCTCTGTGTCCTTGGCTGCCAGCTCTAATCCCTTAGTGGTGACATTGACACATTTGGTGTCATGGTTGTAGTGGATGCTGCCGACATCCACACAGACTTTGTACAGGGTGGCGGGGCTGAGATGTGTGAGGTTGTACACCTGGACGTCAGAGGGAACCCTGGTGGTAAACGTGGTGGTGGGCTGGCTCGGATCGGACCCTGTGTACCATTTAATGTTGGGAGCCAGGGTGCCACGATTCGCCTTCCACGAAATCAAGATGGAGTTTGTCTCCACTGTTTCGATTATGACATTCAGAGACCCATTTGCAGGTTGGGGGAAGTATCCATTCACTTCTACTGAAACAGATTTAAGATCAGCTCCAACTAGATTATGGGCGACACATGTGTAAAGACCTGCTTCTTTTTCTGTTATATCATAGATGTCAAAAGTTCCCTCTGGGTGCATGTAGAACTTTTCGGACACGGTGTTAGGCTGGACCCTGGTGCCAGACGGCGTGATCCAGTAGATGTCCGGCTCTGGTTCAGCGTAAGCTCTGCAATGGAGGGATACTGAGCTACCATTCTTTACTTTAATTTGCCCGGGCATGCTTTCGGGAGAGATAAGTGGTAGACAAATCTCCATCATCTCTCTGAAGTGCACCTGTCGGACATGCTGACCCTCGTACTCTGGGGGCTCCACACAGAACAGTGAGTCAGGCTCCATGAAGCGAAGGTTGGTTTTGTTCATGTTCATCCAGCGGACTACGCAGTCACAGCGGATGGGGTTGCTGTGCATGCTCACCTCTCTGAGATTTGGGAGGGACTCAACAGTAATCCTGTGAAGGGCACTGAGCGCATTGCCATTCAGCATTAGGGTTTCCAGCCGTGGTAGTTTGTAGAAAGCATTAGGATGGATATAGGAGAGTTTCGGATTGTTGGTGGCTTCTATTTTGGTCAGTTCGGGGAGGTTATTGAGGGCAAAGCTGTCAATGGAAACTAACTCTGGCATGCTGTTAATCCCTAGTTCTTTCAGATGCAGCATATCCACAAAGTCCCCTCTCTGTATTCTAGAAATTGGGTTTTTATTAAGATCCAAAAACTTGAGATTTTTTGCATTTTTCAGGGCAGAATGAGGCACCTCTGGGAATATATTATCATAGAACGAGATGCTCTCTAAGTTATCAAGACCAATCAGCGCATCGTCAGGAAGCTGAGAGAGGTTCATTCTGGTGAGGACTAGACTGCGGAGATTACTGAGTGGTTGGAAGTTCATATCGTCAATAGAAAGAATAGGATTCTCGCCAATCATCAGGATTTCAAGATTTCGCATTGGGTCGAACCACTCTCTTTTAATAGCCTCAAGCTTGTTGGAATTGAGGTGGAGCCGCACAAGGTTGCTGAGACCCTGGAAAGCCATTGGGGAAATGTAGGCGATGAGGTTGTGATTCATGTATAGCTCCTGGAGGTTAGCCACCTCAGCAAGACTTCGGTCAGGTAACTCTCGTATCCAATTTTCCTCCAAGTGAAGGGACATCAGCTGAGGAAGATTCCCCAGGTGGACGTCACTGATGGAGGATAAGTTGTTTTGCGATAGATCAATCTCTGTGATGTTGGCCAGGTAATCCAAGGGTTTGTCAATCTTGACCACATTGTTTGTTTGCAGTAATAGTACTTGTGTGCCTAGCGGTAATCGTTCCGGCACGCTAAAGAGTCCCAGGTCATTACAGTCAACTGTCTGAGCCTCCATGTACACTGAACTCGGGGAAAACCAGGGTCTAATCTCACACACACAGAGCTTCGGGCAATCAGGCCTCTCCTCTGTGGCCACAACAAAAGAGGCCATGGCCAAGCCGACAAAGAGACGATCCACGAATGACACGTCCTTCATATTGGACCGATTCCCTCCAGTTAGAAATTGGTCCTTGTAGATTAAGCGTTCTGAGCTGTTAACTTCACAAATAATGAATCATTTGCTGCAGCTGCTGAGGCGATTGACTCACCGCCCCTGCCACCGCCACCACCTTCTGCAGCAGGGCTCCCTGGGGTTGTTTTGTCTTGCTGCGTAGACGCCCTTGGACGTAATGACCAATCACTCAACGCTGCCTGCAGGTGTCAGGGTTCAGCGGACCAAGGCTGCAGTCAGGCAGACCCGAAAATGCGGGAGGAGGGAAAAAACGGGTGGGGGGGGGGGGGGGGGGGGGGAATGAAAATCTGAAAAATGTTCTGGTTCTTTAAAGATGGATGTCCTCACTGATTGTCGTCACTAGCTCCCAGAGTCCACAGCCCAGTCCATTCCTACCTGTGTAAGACAAACAGATAGAAGCAGTGTGAGTATTACCAGATACTAGATGTGGTCAGGGAATTTTATAAGAGAAGGATTCTGGCATATTGACATTTGGTATAGGAAAACTGACGCATGTTGACATTTGTACATGATCCCTTCAAGATATAAAACCATGGATTTTTATCAGCTTGACCTTCTAGACTTCATTCTCGGGACGCAGCAATGTCCTCCAACAAATTATGGCATTCAACACAGATGTTAGCAGAGTGAGTCTATTATTGGTTAAAGAGAAGGATTTATTAATATTCTTAAATGGCAGACATCCTAGGGTTTAAGCATTAGCCTTTAGGGCAAGCTGCTTCAAGACACTGGAATATGTCAGTCACCATGGCAACAAGTAAACGGGCAGGCAATAACCCACACTGCAGTGAGTCTCAGACAAACGGAGCGTTTGACACAGATGCAGTTTGCACCTGTTTGTTAGAGGACGCAGCAACCGACAGCGACAAAGCGAAAATGCATTAACGTGTTGACATAATTAATCTGTGCAATCAACAAATCTGTACATTAACATTGATCAAAAAACAGGTCCTGCATTCAGTCAGTGGCCACATATTTCTAACAGCTATGTTAAAGTGTACAAAAGAAGGACTAAAGGCAAACACAACTGGTTTTGGACCGACAGTCACAAATAAAAGGTCAAAATGAGATTACCACACGTTCTTACGGACAGAAAAAAAACTCTATAACTGTGTCCGAAATGTCTTATTCATTCACTACTCTAACACTTATGAATCGTCGTCATTTTCATTCCAATTTTTGCATTTATTATATTGACTAAATGAATAGAACACTTTGCAGTAAGTAGGTTAAGTGCCTTTGACTTTCTCCAACCTGTTTTAATGAAACTGTATTAGTGTATACAATGTCCACTCAAATATGGAGGGTTATATTAACGCACTATTAATATGGACACGACCTTTGTCTAAATTGAGTGAAAATGGAGGGCTATACATATTGTACATATTCCATTAGTTGTTTAGGTACACAGAGTTCAATTAAGAACAACACTGTAAACTAGAGATACAGATAATATTTGCTTCGGTATATATAAGAAGTATTTTTAAGACAATGTTTAGGTTTGTTTAAGTTACAATTGATAGAGAGCCAAAAGCTGTTCCCAGTATTGTAGGCAACGGATATATTTCAGGCAATAACAATGTTAATGAAATGTGGCACATGACCAGATGTGTCATTTCATTATCAAAGGTGATTCAATGGTATCACAAAGCTTTCAGGAACCACTATTGATTGAATTGTCCATAAATGTCTTCATACAAGCATGAAGTCATTTAAGACAGGAATCACATGCTGTATTTCAAAAAGACTTATGTTTCACACCGAGATATCTCTTATTTATGTAGTGTCCCTTTTACCATCGCATCGTTCATGTACCAACTTCTCCATGCTATGGCGGAAACTCTACAGTTGAAGTGTACCGTGTAATTTGTCGTATGTAACTGCCTCTTACTGAACAGATGGGTTCGATGGTGCTTGTGATATTTCGGGCCTGTGAGAGCACGCAGCAAATCACGAGAAAAGTCAGAGAGAGACAGTGGATGAAATGGAAAGCATCAAGGGAAGAACACGAACAGAGAGGAATGGATTCATTTAATCGACCTCACCGTCTCCACCTCAGTAGCCACGGGAGATGAGGGAAAATAAATAAATAAAAACTTCAGAAGGAAGGCTGCAGTTTACCCCACCAGCGAAGCCACGCCAAAGGTTCATTCCTCAACCTCTAGCCTATTGGAGGGATAGAGGGGGGAGGTATCTCGCTGGGCACTTTAATAAGCTGCAACACCCAGAGCATTCTGATAAACAAGGTTCAGCATTCCCTGAGCACTGGTTCCTCATTGTGGGCCGTGCAGTTGATTCGTGCCCTGGAAACAGAGGCCGGAGTCTGTTGTTCAGCCGCCAGCGTTTGGCTCTCACCTCTTTCTTTCTTTTAGTAATCACAATTACCAGCAGTGTAATGCGGTCAGGTTAACTATTATAGCGTTGCTTGATTGTGCAGTCACTGCTGTTAGCTCCGACAGGGTTGCAGGGTGCGTGTTATTTGTTTTACCATTAACGATAATTGTATCTTTGAGGAGGTTTTTTTAGGTTACGGCTTCCATTTTGTGATCAATATTTTCTTTTCAAGGCTTTCCTTGCCTGTAAAATAGCGCTGCTCCATTTACACAAGGCTATAAATAAGATGTCTAACCATCCAATTTTGGTAAGGGTTGATGATAGACTTAAGAGACAGATTGACGACGAGAAATAATTATTGTCTTCAGTTTAATGGTAATATTGTCTAATATTCTATATTGGCGAACATCTAGGATTAGAAAGGCTTTACCAGATGGTGTGGCCAGCCAACCGGACAGATTTCCCTGCTAATTAATGAGGATACAATATTGTTAAAGCTAATCCAACATTTGCTTCATAAAAATATTCATTAATACAACAATTTTAATTCATATGTGTTGTTTTCCAAATAGGACCACTGTTTGAAATGGGTTAGGGTTAGCATTTGGGCGCATTTTTTCTTTGCTACTTGATATAATTTGGCTTGGTATATACAATATTTAAAACACTCTAGACCCCATTATGACTTAATTATGTCTCTGTTGTTTGTTGTTTTCTAGCCAATTGTCCTAAACACAAACATAATAACTGTTAGAGAAGATTAAGAGATCATTTAATTCCCATTTGAAGAGCTGGGCCAATTTTATTTGACTATAATTTTTGGCCCATTTATATTCAAATGATTAACTAATCTATTTCTCAACTAACTGCACTAGCTCTAGTTAACATCACATTATTATTCATTCTGTTAAAAATGAGGATAAATGGCCTAAATGAGGATAAATGGCCTCAAGACGAAGAAGTCATTTATTAAAACCTTTTGTGGCTCTAAATGGATCTGTGATAAATTGCCTTGTCATTTCTGTTGACATCAATTCATAGTATAACACGTTTAATTTTGACTAATCATCCAATCAAATACAAAATGTAAGCATAGGTAATAAATTGACTCTCATTTAGCATTTTCTTCCATTACATCCAATAACTATGGATGTTTAATAAACCAAATGGCTAGTGCACTCTGAGGCAGATTTATACTTTAGACATTTTCAATTAGGTAAGACATTTGAAATGGAGATGTATCTCTAAGTATAATAAGTATTATTAAGTGCACGTCCTTATTTGTATATAATGTAAACATAACATGCCTTTCATTGTTCCAAAAATAAAATAAAATGTGTTGACACATCTACGTAAATCAGGTTCAATGCACAGTCTCCTGGATGTCCCAGTGAAAGGCTGCCGACTGAATCAGAGGTGACAACTTGGGTGGCAATGTGTCTGATGTGGCAAATGTACTGAGTCTTCAGGCATGCTGGCCGTCCGAGCGAACAGTGTTGAGTCAACGACTTGCTTATGTAATAGACAGTTTAGAATAGAGACAATTGAGGCCAGCCGAATATGTAAAATAACTACAAAAATTGTTGATACAATACATGCTTTCTGAATAGCTGAATGTTAATGACAGGTGAAACATCTTACAAGCTCACCGTACTTAATCAAGATTTGTTAACACATCAGCAAAATTGAAAAGCTTTCCACAATGGAGCGTCCATCAAGAACACTCGGAGAAATTGGTCTCGTTAAGGGTAGAGACACTGCATTCATTACCCTATGATGTTGAATTATTGTACCAAACTGCCTCATCTAAAGTGATATCCGAATCATGCACAGGCGGTTAAACGGGTAAATTGGTATTGGACCACTGCTTTGTGTGAAGCCCGGTGAAGAGGCAGTCTATATTCTTGTGGCTTTGCACCGTGACTGCTGTGACAATCCACACACTTAGGTCCACACACTTGTACTAACCTATTAGTAAGAGGTCCAGTCAAGCTACCCTTCCCCCCAACACCCACCCACTGCTGCGATGTCGAGCTAATTTCCCACAATTCGCTGCTCTGTTGCCAGTAATTGAGCTGGAGAAGGGAGGGACAGAGGAGATGTGGAGGACAAAATGACTTGCCAAAGTAAGAACTTGTCAAAGAGTGTATTAACCCCTGGTGACCCTGAGATTGCTGCCATTGCAGGAAATATTAGTGGCTCCATGAAGAAGAAGAATTAGCCGGTTAAAGATTGCGAGAAAACAACCACTTCCATCGATGTGTATTTGGCATTAAGTGGAAATAACGTGCTTTGGCTACCCGAAGATAAATGTGGTTAATATGGCTGGGGCAAATATAATTAAAGGGTGGATGCTGGTAATATGTGCCCAGAAAAGCCTTTGGAGATTGTGTAGAGAGATACAGTACATAATCAACAGCTGTTAATATAACCTTGAGGGCATGAAATTGGATCTCCTGTTACCTAACCTCTAACTGCACTCACACATTTAGTCTAAACTTTGACATTTGTTTGGGCAGCCAATGGAAGCCTTTTATAGGTCAGGCTAAGGTGTTCACTCATGGAGCTAACACGAGTTCCCAGGTGTCAGAGGAAAGATGGGGGCAATCATTCAAGCCATGGTCTCCAAAGCACCACCATTACAGTAGCAGGCTGACAGTCTGGCCCATGGGCTTTTCCCTTTCACCAGTGTCAATCCTGACTGCGAACATTACTGCAAACAAGCTCCTAATACCAGGCGTGTTTCAGGACTGCGTTAAATGTGAGATATACAGCTAACCACCTTTCCGTTGCACCAAGAAAACCTGCAATAAATTGTAGCACAATATCAACATATGACCTTTTTAAGTTATTTAACAGACCTTTTTACACTGCACATCCAGCAGATAAGGAGCAACATTTGCATTTATTTGAATTTGTGTTTCTGGCCACCAAATCCAATATTCGCTTCATTTTGAACTCTGGACCCCACTCACTCATACGGAAATAAATGTGGCTTTGACATGCTATCTGCTGTGGAAAATGAGTTTTCAGCTGCCTGC